ACTCATAAACAACGGCACTCGACGGTGCATCCAGCAGTGATATAATAATCTTAATGTACTTGGATTTCTCACCCTTATTCACTCTACAGACCTTCTTAATCAATTCCAAGACGACCATTTGGAGCTGTTCACCCCACTCAATAATCCTACCGATATGTGTAAACAAATAATGCACAGCCCTATCTTGCGCGCAATTAAAGAGCATAAGGAAAGCATTTCGCTTACTGGAAGGGTCCTGCTCGGAGGCCAAGAACCGATCAATGATCTCCGGCGCGCTATCCAGCAATGTCTCCCCCTGCGGAAGCCTATACACGAACATGATCGCCAGCACGGCATTTCGTCGAACAAATGGGTGGCGGTGCTCCAAATTGGCGAGAATCGAAGGGATCAGAGGCTCGATGATCTCGGCCTCGTTCAATCGGCAGAGAAATCGCAGCGTAACGCCTCGGATGTACTCGTTCGGGTGCTGAAGATTGTTGCGGAGGTTCTGGCAGATGAGGATCATCTCCGGGAGGATCTTGCCTTTGGAGTCGGTTTTCTCTATGATCTCAAGGTAGAGGAGGAGGAGCTTCTGGACTGTGTGGTCCTCGGAGGGCAGTACGTATCGGATGATGGTGATGAAGAGCTGGGGAATGGTGTCGCCGTTGAGGAGGAGCATGATGGCCTTCTTGAGGGCTTCGATCTTCAATTCGACGTCGTTTCCTTCTAGGGCTTCTTTGATCTCGTTGGCTAGGGCTGGTGTGCCTTTGTCGAAGTGGACGAGAAGAGTGCATGACTTCTCCATCATTAGAGATCCGAATCGGAATTGGATCTCAGGGAATGGGAAACGCCAGATCTAAATTAGATCAATGAGAAGGAGAAGAAGAGATCTGGCTTTTATTTGGTGGTGGTGGATTTGTTGTCTGGTGTTGGCTTGGATTGGAAGTGACTGCTGAATTTAGAGAGACGAGGGAGGCAATGAAAGGAACAGTTGGGTTGGGCCTATGGAATTTTTGTTGGATTTGGGTTGTGTTGGGTTGGATCACTTATCAAGTAGAAAGTTTGCTGTTAGGCTTTGATGTTTACAATTGGGAGAGTTTTAAATTGCCCTTCTGCCCAAAGAAACAATTATATATATTGCTCGGACGGCATAGCGAAGCTGGATTTTGAGAGGAAAAGATAAGTGAGAATCCGTATTTTTATGGCAGCCTCGTTCAAACCTTCTTGAGGAGGAACCTTTGAGTAAGAAAGAATATCATCCATACTTTTGACTAACAAAAGAATTAACCTTACACAAGTAAATCCTTCACACCAATAATAATAAAATTTAAAATCATCCTAAATCGGATACCATCGCTAACACCGTTCACGATTTTAAAAAAGAAGACCTTTTATGATGAAATAAGTGGGACTGTTAAAATTCAGCATCATAATTCTTTGCACAAATAAGAGTTCTCTTCGCCAACATTGGTTCATAATGAAATTAGTTGGATGTGGATAAATTTTTCTATGTAACTATCACAGAGATAATGTTAAAGTCCACTCATTCATATTATAACACGTGTCCTAGTTATCGGTTTTGAAGTATCGGATGAAAGCTAGAAAGGATTAAAGCATCACATATGATTTTCTTGTTAAACGTCTCTTCTTGCCCAGTTTCAGCAATGGCCACTAAATGAGCCCAAATCACCCATCTTTAGAGCAAAAAGTTAACTTAAGAGGAGAAAGTCATTTGAGGAAGCCCGGAAGCCCACCAGGTCAATTTTATGAAAGGCATTTTATTCAGAAGTCTGGAACATTGACCCGTGACTAACATAAAATTAGTTGAGCAATCTTGCTCTTCCAACTTTTGATATTCGTTCAAATCAAGCTTTTCTTAATTAAGGATCGAAAGCAATTACCCAACTAATTAAACAGAAGTCGCTAGAATTATTTTATAGCTTCATTAAGGGTCATGAATTATAATAATCTCAATTTAGAGACAAATCCTAATCCTGCCACCTTAATGATTTGATTAAGTTAACCACCATAGTGTACAAGAGAATCCAGCAGCATCCCCACCCCCCCGGACGACTGGGGCATGGCATCTTAAAAATCTTTTTCTTTTAGCATCATTTCCGGGTCATAATACACTTAATGATGATTTAAGAGATTATATTTGGGGAATATTGTGTTGATCTATTTATTTGATTTGATGGAATTAGTGAGTAATGATTTCAATTGGAATAACAAGGATGAGCAAACACATTACAGATTGGTCCAACATTGTGAAACGACTTATGTCTTTTCTTAAAGAGGAATCTCTCTTTGTATATAGAAAGACTTAAGTAACTTAAGTATCTAACTTAAGTATCGAAGCTGGAAAAATATATCTGACTTTAAATAAGTAGATCCAGTGTACCATAACAAGGTGGAGAGAGATTTTATTTTATTTTCTGAAAATATTAAATATCTGAATTAATCTAAACTTTTTAAATTGAAATGTTGTTGTTTTAATTATAAAATCACTTTTTTATTTTATAAAAAGACAATAGAATTTTATTAGATCAATATGAAAAAATAGACTGTAAAGGGAGTTTTTGGCAAACATGGCTAAAACTCCCCCAGTGACTTGAGTCAATCGAAAAAGATGAAATGATATAGGGAGAATCACTCTAAAAATTAACTTTTTGTTTATAACACATTTATCCATTCCTAATTTCATTGAATATAGTCCGTTGCAATGACATCACAGAAAAACTAGCCGCTAACCAGCATGACTCTCTTAAAGAGACTAAGAACACGGGGGAAACTCAACTAAGTTTCTGGAATTATGAGGAAAAAAAAACATAGAAAACTCATAGAGTTTATGGACTTTATTGAAGAAACTAAACCAAAACTAAAAAGCTAAAACAAAACCAACAAAAGGAAAACTAACTGCTGTTAATCTTTCATCGCATGATATAGAGAGCGTCACTTAGTTATTTCAAAGCCAGAACACACTAATGAGCAGTGGATCTATCATGACCAAGTTGCAACACCTCAAAGAGCAACCTTGCAAGATGAGGTACAGCTAAAGCCAACTCAATTATGAGACAATAGATATGTCGAAGGAAGAGTAAATCGATATAGGTCTACCAAAAGTCGGAGAACACTGAAGTTCCAATGGGATCCAAAGGTGAACTCCCTTGATCTTTGAAGCTTTTTCTCTCTATTAAATGTTTTTTTTATTAGAGAAAAATAATAATTGTATTCATAAATTAGACATCACGATCATAAGTCATGAGCCCCAATACAAATACCCACAAAAAATTAATACAAAAATAAAAGCGTAGATTTAGCAGTCCATGATTAAATATTTATTTAAACAATTATTGTATCATCCTTCCCAATTTCCCAACAAACACTCTTCTTCGCCAAAATCTGTCTTGGTTAGTTGAATCACTTTCCGCTGTTTGAGGCGGATGATTGGCAGTTGCAGGTCATTATCAGATTTGACCACTTCTAGTTTCCTTGACAGTTTATTAGTCTACAATAAAGTTCGAGTGCAAAAGTCTAACTGATTTAAAATCTCTATTTATAAGTGACATAATCATAATTTATACATTTTTTAAATACAAATAATAGTTAAACTATATGAGAAGGGGAGTTTATCTTATACACACTAACAAAGTGTCATGAAGGTTCAAACTATAGACCAATGACATGTAAATCAAAACCCATTTTTCACCAAGTTAGACCCCGTTGACCATAATTTATAATTTATAAATTAAGGATTAACAATCGATTCTACTATAACTATTAACGTATGATGTAAATATCAAACCCAAAATAACTTATTAAAGATAGAATTAAAAAAACAAAGAAAATAAGTTAGAAATATCATTATTTATGCATTCTTGGTCAAGAAAAATGGTGGTTGTCTATATTTATTATTTATTTAGAAAGCAAGGTTTGTTTCATACTTTTTCTTTTAGGATCTATCTATTTCTATCAGAAGCACATGGATAATGCCACTCCAACCACCTACAGTCGTCACTCTAATTTTTCCTTTTACAAATAAAACACAAAAAGTCGGGCCTTATGGTCAATAAAATATCATATAATATGAAATCAGTGTTGCACTTTGGAGACTAAAGTTTATGTTACAACTCTTATTTTGATATTTAATAATTATTTTTTTTAAAATTATAATAATTTAGACTATCGTGTGTATAAAAAGAAATATTTATAATTAACAATTTTATCACAGTAATGTCACCGTATATTGCTATATATTTAATGTTCTTATTTTTCCATCTTTATTTATTATGGATCTCATTCATTATAAGGATCTACATTTATTTGAAAATGTTTACTTTTTAATCAATCAGATATGTTATGTTATGTTATTTGATAGTCAATCAGAAGTATTGATGAGTTAGATTACATTTGAAAATATGATAAAAACTGATGATCTGAGTAAACAAAACAAAAATGCTAAGAACATAACTTTAGGAGGAATAGTATTTTTCAGTATTAAATTTGGGCACTTCAATTTTTTTAATTTTTTTTCCCAACAACCCAAAATTAAAAAATAAAAAAAATCTTTTTAAAAAAATGAAAAAGAAAAGAGAAAAAAGGGGGAAAGGAAAATGAGGAGTTGTAAGATTTAGGCAAGGTGTCATCATCTCAAGGAAAGTGTCGGTGCTGTAAGAAGGAAGACTTACAAAGAAGAGAGCATAATGAATTCTGACTAACATATGATATATGGCGTTGTATATCTGCGCTGGACAAATGTCTTTTGTCCACCTTTAAAGTTTTCTAATTTAACTTCAGAACACAATCCCTCTCCTTCCCATCCCAACTATTTATTACCCAAGTGCTTTGCTTGATTTTCTAGCAACACTAGCCACTAGGGTTCATTCCTCGTCTCTCACTTTCCTGATTTTCTCTCTCTTCCTTGTAGCAGAGTGAGAGAGAGAGAGAGAGTGTGTGTGTGTGTTTTGTAGTAAGTAGGATCTGAGAGTGGAAAAGAGAGTGTTTTTTGTTCAAAAGGAGAGATGGGTGTGGATTTGAGGCAGGTTGTGGCAGGTATATTGACACTGGCAATGTTTGTGATGCTTGGGAACATGATTAAGAGAGACCATTTTGATTCTGTTGAAGTAAGTCCACCAAATCCCAGCATCATACACTCTCCACAATACTAAAGTTCATCACTTCATCGGATCTGCTTTACTGTTTCTTGTTTGATTTCTCTCTCTCATTTTGCAGAATAATCACATAAATGTCTTGTGAAATAGCAATATCTCTGTTTCTGGATTTTCTGTTTCATTTGATTTGTAATCTTTGATGGTTTGTGATTGATTTGTTGTAATTGAAGTTGAATCATAACAAAAAGCATTACTGAGAGGTTCTGTGTCTAATTCTTTTGGTTTATAGATTTGTTGCTATAGATTTAGACCATTTTCTGTTATGTTTAACAGTATCATTCACCATCCTTTGTTTGTTAGAAACTGGGAAGCAAAATGGATTCAGAATTTGTGTTCTCTAATCGTTCAAGAAATATTTCTGGTCAACTAAGTCAAATAGTTACGATGAACTCTCTGTTCAGTGACATTGATTGGATTCAAGACTCCTGTTTCTTCTCTCTATTGAATTCAATGGTTTTAATTTCTCTACATTTTTCTTGGCACCTAAAAAGCGTTTCTATAGAAATTTTGTTTCCCCTCTCACCCATTTCCTTTTACGGGTACTTTTCACTTATCACTCTGGAAATGTTGTATAGAATTGTAATGGAGCTCATGTAATTTTTTATATTTATTTATGAAGTTTACATTGTTTTTTACGACAAATAAATTTGATCTAGCACTGATTAACTGGGTTATTTCTGTGCATTTTATTCTCTTCTGCTTACATAGGAGAAATTTCCTGGCAGCGGAAGGGATACCTTGGAAAATGCCAAGATTTCAAAGGAAGGCCTTAGCAAGAAGAATAGCGGGCCTTGGAAAGATGATGGTCAGGAGCTAAAACCATGTTGGTCTAAGCCATCAGGTAAGTTTTCTTTACATTTTGAAATTATTGGTTATTTCATATATTGTTTATTGCAATGATGCGTTACCTAATTCCTTTTTATAAATTCTTACCTTGTTACCTTGGTAGCAGATGATGTAGAGCAGACGGAGGGGTATGTCCTTTTCTCATTAACAAATGGCCCTGAATACCATGTTTCACAGGTATTTAATCAACAGTTGATTTAGGTGAAAGAGTTATTTGTTTGGATCCTATAATTGATGTAAAATCCCTTGAATATAATTTATCAAAATATCTATAAATTCAGTCCTTTCGTCCTTTTATCATTTGGCAGAGCATGCTACATTACGTGTGCATCTGTGTTCTCTCCTTTTTCCATTTCATGGAAATGTTTGGCATTGATTCTCTAACATTCTTTGCGATACATCATGGGTGATCTTATGGTTACTTGTAGAGTATTCATATACACCAAATTTATGCTTGGGCATGTTTATAGCTACTTTATAAATGTTGGATATCTTGTCAACTTCTGTAAAAGATTTTCTTTTGCACTTCTTAAATTAGCCATTTATTTTGCAAACCATTTTCTCTCTGTAATTTGTTCCCTGTTATTCTTCAGATTGCGGATGCCGTTGTCGTGGCAAGGTATCTAGGGGCAACTCTTGTACTTCCCGACATTAGAGGGACCAAACCAGGGGATGAGAGGTTAGTCGGTCACTAATGCTCTATTAAAAGCCAGCTTTCCCTTGATTATTTATAGTTTCAGACTTAGTGATACTCTCCTGTGTTGCTGTTGTCGTTGTGCTTGTGTTTGTTGTTGGTCGTAAAATAGTATACTGGTACACTGGTATACTTTATCTGCTTGAACGAGCTGTATGGTGAACTTTGCAATTATCTTTTCCAGTACTACCATAAAAGAAATTATTTGGTTGGATTTAATAAAGTTTTTGGCAGGCCACTAATATAACTGAAATTCCAGGAACTTTGATGAGATTTACGATGTTGAGAAGTTTATAAGTAGCTTGGATGGTGTGGTTAGAGTAGTGAAAGAACGACCTGGTAAATTATCAACAAGGAATCTTGCTGCTGTTAAGGTCCCTAATCGGGTTACAGAAGATTACATTGTAGAACACGTGGAACCGATTTATAGATCGAAGGGCAACATAAGGCTGGCAACTTACTTCCCTTCAGTTAATATGAAGAGGATAGAAAGAAAGAGTTCTAGCGATTCAGTTGCATGTTTGGCAATGTTTGGAACTCTAGAATTGCAACCAGAGATTAACGAAGTGGTCGACTCAATGGTTGAGCGACTGAGAACTTTGAGTCGCAAGTCAAATGGCCAATTTGTAGCAGTGGATTTGAGGGTTGAGATATTGGAGCAGAATGGTTGCCAAGGAGGAGACGAATCCGGAACAAAAAGTTGCTATAATGCACAAGAGGTTGCTTTATTTCTGAGGAAAGTTGGATTTGGAAAGGGTACCACGATTTATTTGACTGAATCAAAATGGGACAGCAGCCTTGATGCTCTGAAAGACATCTTCCCAAAAACTTATATAAAGGTGCAGGCTTCCTCTGTTCTAGCTTGAATTTTAACTTTATTTTAGTTTCTTTCTTTATTTATTTCTTTTATTTATGCTTGGCTGGCCATATTTCATTTTAATTTAGGATAACTACCTACCTTGGATCTCTTTAAAATCTTTGGTGTGCTTTCTGGTTATTCTTATAGAATGTTTGTGTTTTTCCAAGTAGAAACCACTAGCATTGCTATTTCAGTTGTATATTTTGTACTTAATGCCTCTGGAATTTATTGCAGGATGGCATTATCCCTGCTGACAAGAAGTCAAAGTTCCTGGATTCAGAGGGTTCTGAATTTGAGAAGATCATTGACTACTACGTATGTTCGCAGAGTGATGTATTCGTACCAGCCATCTCTGGCTTGTTCTATGCAAATGTGGCGGGTAAGAGAATTGCTTCCAGTAAAACTCAAATACTTGTCCCAACCGACATCTCCGATTCCTCTGCATCTGCCTCCAATTTCATCACACATTATGTCTCAAAGAAGAACCATTTGGCGTATTCATGCCTTTGCTAGTGCCCGTGAGAAGAAACCTGGAAAAAGAAAAGCGTGACAGATGTATTGAAGCCTTCAAAGAGGGTGTTAGCTTTCCCTTGACTGAGCTTGATGTGGTTAAGCAGATGGACATGATAGCTTGTATAATGTATATTTTAAGCTGGCTTACAAGAACCCTAAACATAAGTTTTTCTGTTAAGATGATCTTTTAAGACACTCTTTGATAGGGCAGGAAGTTTTGAACCTATAACGGTTCATCTGTCGTTTGTTATATTTCAAAACATTTTTCCTATATTCTTTCCAATCATCTTGTCACATTTTCCGAATCTGGTTGCGCAGAAGGATTATTGTAGTAAAACTGGACACGCTATTCCTTGTTCAGAATACTCTCTCTCTCTCTCTCTCTCTCTCTCTCTCTCTGTGACTGGTATAAAGGTTCATCTATATGCATACAAGAAGATGGCAGATAAAACAGATCTCATATGGGACTGATTGGGTTTGGATCTTAGAACCAGAAGAAAATAAGGAAATTTAAATAATAATAAATAGTTGGATCAAGATCCAAGGTCGTTTTGTCTATAGTAATTCTGACACAATTAACATATATAACTCTAGGTCATTTAGAAAGATATTAAAAAGAAACATTGATGTTTATAAGAATAATGGGATCTAATCTGTGTCACGTTTTTCTCTCACTTAGTCTTTTGTCTTTGACAGAGTGGTGTGGTGCCCTACTCCCACGAGCTACCTCAGAAACTTGTCTATCATTTCAGCTGTAACCCTTCACAAAATCAATATCTGATAGACAGTGTTGAGCCAACGGTAGTGCAGAACAAGAAATATGCCATCTTATTTGGCAGCCATTATTTTTCTTTTGCTATGATGCGGTGCTGTGCTGCTAGTAACTTAGTTGGTGAAGTATACAGATCTATCTAACGGTTGATATTGGCCAAACTGAGTTTCAACAGTTACTATGTGGTGCACCAAGATAGAAATCAGATTTTTGAGAGTGGGGGGTGGCTAGGAGAAAATGTAATATTTGGTTGGTTCATGCAAAACACCAACCAACTTTTATTATGTATAATAGTTTTGTAGTCTATAATTTTACTTTTCGTACATCAATTGCAAAGCAGAGGATATGAACGCAAAGTAGCGTATAAATAAAATAAAAAGAAGAATCAAGGCAAGTAGCCGTCTTAGCTCAGCTGGTAGAGCGCGTGGCTTTTAACCACGTGGTCGTGGGTTCGATTCCCACAGACGGCGTACAATTATATTCTATATTAATTTTTGCTTAACTTGCCTTGATTGGGATTTTTTTATTTTATATATATTTATTTATAGAGAAACCTTGATAGAGAAATTGATGGTCATGAGTTGGATATGTGCTTATCTTGCTATGATATTACATTTTAAAGTTTTCTACTGAAAAATTCTGTTTCTATTTGCAATTCATGACAATGCTTACGATACATAATCAAAGTATAGAAATCGTGTTCATCGGTTTTTATTTATTTATGTTGAACTGAAATCTGCACGCCATGCATTCACTCTTTTTGTTTCCTTGTGGTGGATTCATTACAATCTACAAAAGGTAACAGTTAATAATGTCATCACAAATACAGTTCTAAAGTCAAATTACACAACATTTTCACTAACAAGTTTATAATCTTTATCTTTATCTTAATTACACAGCATTTTCACTAATAAGGTAAATGTAAATAACTATTAAGTTGGGGCGGGAGGGAGTAGTTAGTTTTGATTTGTCTATATGTAATTTAATTATTTTAATTATTTCAAGATATGAGTTTGTAAAATGAACCAATCTGAAACGAAACCAAAAATTTGGGGTTTTCAATTCTAATATATTTTTAAGAATAATCATATAATCATAATCCTAGAAAGCACAAAAGTCAAAGGCCCATTGTACATATTATAATCATAATCATATAATCATATTATGAGAGACCATTGTACATACTTCCCTCGCCCAAATGACAATTTTACCAAAACTGCAACCACATTTTATTATTAGGGCATAATGAACTCAAGTAGCAACAACATGTAAGGGCCTGGAAACTCATTCACGCTACGCTGGTAACAAACATCACCTCTCAGCATACAAAGGATCATTTGTCAGCATGTCATGGCTCATCCGAGATTCCATTTATAAGATCAGATTGACGCCCTCTAAATTTGGCCAAAACTGCAATGTGGAACGCCGATAAATTTCAAGAAGCCGAAAAAGATGAAATAAACAGAGAGAAGAGAACGAAGCATACCATTTATCAATCATCCAGGTAATAATAGGACCCTGCAGCTTTTTGTTCCCTATCCTTGGTTGACTCCAATTTGTTGATTCTTGGTCGGTAGTTGGTGGGGTCGCGTCTAAATGTGATATCAAGATGCTGCACGCATTATTTTGAAAAGTCAATCAAAGTTATTCGTGAGAGAGAGAGAGAGAGAGAGAGAGAGAGAGTTCTCCCCCTCTGCATAGCTGAAGGCCAAAATAATTGAGTGAAATGAAGAAGTTGCAAGGCTTACAGATAGGAAGAGATTCATCCCAGTCAACAATGACTGGGGAGCATTTGCAGTACAATCAATCGACGGCTTGCCCTCATAGACAATAACTCTATCTGCCAAGTAGGTAGCCATGATAAAGTCATGTTCAACCACAAATGCAGTTTTCTTAGCATGTAGGATAAACCTCTTTATCACTTTTGACGCAACAATACGCTGCTCAGAATCGAGATATGCACTTGGTTCATCTATAAGATAAATGTCTGCAGGCTGCATTAAGTAAATATAAGACAGATTAGAATGTGTCAGTCATAGGCAAAACTATAACTCATCGCCTTCCCAGCATCAAACAATGGAAAGAAAAATGAATGAATCCATGTTTGTGAACATATAATGACATCTATATTTACATTGTTTACTTTGCAGGCAGAGCCCAGCAAGATTTCTACACAAGAAAAATCTATTTTACATCCCGGCAGATATAAGACTTTTATACTGAGAACACACTTCCGTACTGAGAACACATGCTTATTCCTCAACAATTATATGCAGACCAAATAGAAAAAGTATATCTTCAATAGTAGCAAAAGAATCTGATGTGAAAAATCAGAATGAAGAAAAACATAGAACTATTAAGCCCTCAAGTCAATATCGAAGAACAATGCCTGGAGGCTCAGAACTTGACTAACTCCTAGTGATCACAATACAATGCTCTTATCCTCTCGAGTGTCATGTCAATCAAGGCAAGAAACATGACCCGCGTCAGCAGATCTCATAACAATGGATCCACCATAGAACTGAAGCAATCCAGCATAAGAACACTTCAATGAAAGATTAGAGCAACCGTGCAATGAAGGCCCATTTTATAAATTCAATCAACAACCCAATCTCTCCCTTCCTACTCTATACTTTCACTGCTAAAAATAGGAAAAAGCCAACACTACTTCGGATTTTCCAAAAACAGAAATATATTATTCAACTAAACTACTAAACCAACTTGTTCTCCTTTTGTTGAAAGTCAAGAACCTACGAAACTGATAATAATGAATGCTTATTGAAGATTTTCAGGCGTCCAAAATTCATAACCAAGATACATGAAAAAGCTTAACCAATGATTGTGAGAAGATAAATGAAAATAATTTACCCTCCCAAGGCATAGGCATAATGCAACCCTTTGCAGCTCTCCACCAGAGAGATTCACAACCTCTTGATCCATTAATTGTTCAATAAGAAGAGGCTTCATCACATCTGACATGAACTGGGGATGAGTATATGAATCGCGGATTTTTGAATGTAACAAGTGTCTCACAGTGGATGCAAACTTTGGACTGATTTTCTGGGGCTTGTAAGAAACATTGAATTCAGGTATTTCGACATCAGAATCTTCTACAGTATCAGGTTTCAACAGGCCAGCCTGCAAATTGGACAAATATATGCCAACTCAACGTCTCAACCTGCAGTGCGATTATGATTGAAGAAATATAAAATGAAAAGGAAAGAATACCAGCATACGGATAAATGTTGTCTTCCCTGTTCCATTCTCCCCCAGCATTACAATAATCTGAGAATCAGTAAATTCACCCTCAACCACACGAATCCTGAAGTTTCCTTGAGTTTTAGTCATCGATGGGTATCTATATCGTGCATATGACTCAATTTCCTCGGCACTTTCCTGTGGAGTCTCAGCAACCTAGGAAAGGCAACAAAGTAAATCACAAAGTAATGATAAGTCAAAAGAGCATTTCACGGACAAAATTTATAATCTTGCCTTGAAGGTCAGAGATTCATCTCGGAACCTAAGATTTTCTGTAGGAACAAATCCGGCCAAGAAGATGTTGATTCCTTCTCTAACTGAGAAAGGAAGAGTTACAACTCCATATGCACCTGGTTTCCCATATAAGCAGCAAATGAAGTCTGATAAGTAATCCAAGACACTAAGATCATGCTCCACAACAATTACATAGCTGAAAATACAATGAAATATAATTATTAGCAAAACATACAGGAAGACAACCAACAAAAGGAACCCAACAAATCTGCAATGAAAATTTGAGGGAAGAAGATAAATATACAAAAATAAACCTATTAGCCCTGAGCAAAGATCGGACAACTTGGGCTGCTTTAAGCCTCTGTTTCACATCAAGATAACTTGAAGGTTCATCAAACATATATATCTCTGCATTCTGTATGGCAACGACGGCAATGGCAAATCTTTGAAGCTCCCCACCTGATAAATCCCCTACATTACGCTCTATAACCTGATTCAGATCAAGATCAGCACATAGTTTTTCCTTCATATCCCTCTCATCTTTCTGGTTGAGCACCTCCCCAACATTCCCTTGAACTGCTTTTGGAATGTGATCAACGTACTGGGGCTTTATAATGGCCTGTTAAATACAAAAATTACAAGTACACATTTAGCAGGAAGAAAATTTTTTAAAATGTCCAAAAACTAACCTAACTCAGCAGCTATAAAATAAACCCAGGACATAACGGACAAAATT